TGTGATCAACTCCTTTTTACAGTTTTACAGATATAATCGTGTGAGCTGATGAAGCTGATTTTTCCTTGGCTATTTAATATTTTTTTAAAATATAATTTTTTTTTAATATTTGAAAAAAAAATTATTGAATTTTTTTTTTATATTTAAGAAAATTTTATTGAATTTTTTTTTTAATATTTGAAGAAAGTTTCGGTGTAATAAATTTTGATTATCTTCCGGCTAGTTTAAAACATATTGTATATTCTTTGTTAGAATTTTATAATAAAAATCTTCAACCGGTGTCCACATAGCAATGTCTCCAGTGTGTATTTATTTAACTTCAGCCATTTTTGATTAATAAATTTTGATAATCTTCAGTCTAGATTAAATCATATTGTACATTCCATGTTAAAATTTTATAGTAAAAGTCGCCAACCGGTGTCCACATGGCAATGTCGCCAGTGTGTGTTTATTTAATTTCAGCCATTTTTGATTAAGGAATTTTGATAATCTTCCGGCTAGTTTAAAGCATATTGCATACTCCTTGTTAAAATTTTATAGAAAAAGTCGCCAACCGGTGTCCACATTGCAATGTCGCCAGTGTGTGTTTATTTAATTTCAACCATTTTTGATTAAGGAATTTTGATAATCTTCCGGCTAGTTTAAAACATATTGTACAATCCTTGTTAAAATTTTGTAGTAAAAGTCGCCAACCGGTGTCCACATAGCAATGTCGCCAGTGTGTGTTTATTTAATTTCAGCCATTTTTTATTAAGGAATTTTGATAATCTTCCGGCTAGTTTAAAACATATTTAATAATCCTTGTTAAAATTTTGTAGTAAAAATCGCCTACCGGTGTCCACATAGCAATGTCTCCAGTGTGCAGCCATCCCTTTTCATCAATTGTTTTTTCTGTTCGTTCTACATCGTGGTAGTATCCTTTGAACACATTGTATCCTTTCACACACAACTAAAAACAAATCAGCAAATTAACCTTTATCAATAGTATTATGTATAGCTTTTTAAAGCTCAGTGTCTAATAGATAAGACAATATTTAGTATAGATTTATCACTTAAAAGAAATATTTTAAGAATTTGTTTCTCTTCGTATGTGTTTAGAAAGTGATGGACTAGTTAAAAATTTAAATTAGAATGACTGGATTAACTGGAGTTTCTAATTGAAATGAAAAATTAATAAAATTTAAAATATTCAATATAAGTAAACCTTTTGAACAGTTTAAAGGCGTCTAAATGAAATATGATTTAAATCTTGTAAATCGTGTTTCATAAGCAAAACTTTCAGACAAACATTGAAAATATTCTACGCTATGCGAAAAATGCTATTGAGAAACATTGCAACTAATTTTAAAATTTAGTTGAAGGGTTTACCTGGTTTTCTCAGAAGAACACTGTAAACAGAATGTTTTTTTGAATCGAATGCTTTCTATGTTTTCCTTGATTAGTATTTAAAAATCGTCGGCAATTTTTAAAATATTTAGAAGAAAAAAACACTCTATAGAGAATTATGCGAAGTCGAAAAAAAAACATAAAGAATCTAGAACGGATTTATCAATATCAATTGGTGCACCCAATGAATTTTATAGAGATATACGTTCAGCGAAAGAAAAACCATGAAAGTGGAAATGGCATTTCTATTGACATTTTTTCCTTAATAATTAACTTTAAGTAAACGGACACCATAAACCTTCAACGTTTTTTCAAGTGTCACTTTAAGAAGGCAATTTGAAGCTCTAAAAGTGCTATAATCGTAAAATGCATTTTATATTTGTTCGAGTGCCATCTATTGACAAACATTGGAATTAATTTTAAAATGAGGTGGGAGGAATAACTTGTTTTCTGATCAGAACATTTCAAACAGAACACATTATTTTCTTCTCTGTTTCCTAAAGGACAACTTGAGGTAGTGCTATAATCGTAATTTTGAGCAACGTTGTACTAAAAAGGAATATGTAACAGTATTACTCACTTCACCTTCTCCATCTTTTGCGAAATATCCTAATTCAGGAACATCGACCAGTTTTAACATGTTACTTGGTATTGGTATACCGACATGCCCTTTTAATTAAAGAAAATAGTGAATATATTAAATGCAAAGACACAGTGAGTTAAATAAATAAGTAAATAAATCATTAGAGCACGCAAGTTTTCAACCATTCTCTGATACCTTATTGTGATCACCCTTCATAGTGGGAGAGTCAAAATTCGAATTTATTGAAAAGATTTTGTTCAAAGAAAGTGCAATTTTTTAAGTGCAAGTAACGAATATCGTCTAAATTAATTACTAATATATTTAAGATTGAGTATTTTGAGATTAATTTCCATGTGATTCATTGAGATTGAGTTCTAGTTCATGAATATTCGTTTATAATAGAGTCAAAGAGTCCATGAGAATCAAAGATTCGAATTTATCGAAGAAAGATAAAGAATTTTTTGTTCAGAGAAAGTACAATTTTTGTTCGATTTCGTAACGAATATCGTCTGAATTAATTATTACTATATTTAAGATTGAGTACTTTGAGATTGACTTCCATGTGATTCATTGAGATTGAGTTCTAGTTCATGAATACCCGTTTACAATAGAGTCAAAGAGTCCATGAGAATCAAAGATTCGAATTTATCGAAGAAAAAGAAAGAATTCTTTGTTCAGAGAAAATGCAATTTTTGTTCGATTTCGTAACGAATATCGTCTGAATTAATTATTAATATATTTAAGATTGAGTACTTTGAGATTGATTTCCCTATGATTAATTGAGATTGAGTTCTAGTTCATAAATATTCGTTTATACTAGAGTCAAAGAGTCCATGAGAATCAAAGATTCGAATTTATCGAAGAAAGAAAAAGAATTTTTTGTTCGGAGAAAGTACAATTTTTGTTTGATTTCGTAACGAATATCGTCTGAATTAATTATTATTATATTTAAGATTGAGTACTTTGAGATTGACTTCCATGTGATTCATTGAGATTGAGTTCTAGTTCACGAATACCCGTTTATAATAGAGTCAAAGAGTCCATAAGAATGAAAAATTCGAATTTATCGAAGAAAAAGAAAGAATTTTTTGTTCAGAGAAACTACAATTTTTGTTCGATTTCGTAACGAATATCGTCTGAATTAATTATTACTATATTTAAGATTGAGTACTTTGAGATTGACTTCCATATGATTCATTGAGATTGAGTTCCAGTTCATGAATACCCGTTTACAATAGAGTCAAAGAGTCCATGAGAATCAAAGATTCGAATTTATCGAAGAAAAAGAAAGAATT